CGGGGGTGTGTGAAATGGGGGTATCTGTTACAGTGTCAACAGTAAATATAAAGTTAAAAAAAAGTTCTCCTCATTTTGATGGTTGTAGACCAGCTACTTTACACTGCTTTCTGCCTCTCTAAATTACAATATCCTCAGAACAACAGTGGTCTCCTGAAACACAGAGACATTAATCAATCACTCAAGCTTATAATTATGGGCCTAATGCTAATCTTTAGATCTAATTTTCAAAGTACTAAAACGAAAATGACCTGTTCACCGAAAAGGTCACAAACTTTTTTGCATGTACACTCCTCCCTAAGATATTTGGCTATGTAACCTTTACATGCATCCTATGTGTGTTTCTGGTTTTAAACTATATATTATGATATATAATTATACAGTGAATCTGCAAAACAGAAATTTTATAAAGCTGAGAAAAAGAACTTCTACTATTTTATCTGAATACCTCATAGATTGTACATTATGTGCCCTTCTTTAGAGACTGCTGAGCTAAAGAACCACTATATTTTAGCCTAAGTATTCTTTTCCCAATACACATCATTACTAAGCTGGAGGCTGCTTTAGGCCCAACCCTGCATTGAACAGATTGGCTTAGAGGGGGTAAAATCTAATTCAGAGGGTCTCGCTCCCTGGAAGAAATGGTACCACTGTAAGATAATTATTTATGGATCATCTATGCCTGAAGCCCTGTGCTCTAGGAGATCTTCGGGAGAGCTATTGTTACTGTGCCTTGTGGCAGAAGCAACACAGAGCATGTGTTAGACGTATGAGTCCTCTCTTGAACCTATACATAAAGAATACGAGAACACTTCAGTAATGTAACACTATAATTGGTGACGATTCATAAGAAAAACGCTCAGAATCCCCATCATTGGCAGCCTGCTGATTTTAGGACAGAAAGATAGAGACAAAGACTGTCAACCTGCGGTTCTCAAAGCAAATCATTCAATTTACCTCTGAAAATCAGGAAGCTCTGTCCTCTGGTGTCAGGGCCATAGTTAAGGCTGAGGCAGTAAGGCTAGTTCAAAGAGCCTGAGGGGGCCCAGAGAGGCTTCTTGAAAGGTGCACCAGGGTGAACTTGATAGCCTTTAATATCCAGGCTGAGAAATCTCAACTTTCCTTCAGGCTTTTTAGAAGATGACCTGCACATAGCATTAATTTCCGTCCAAGCCAGAAATTCTCAATCTTCTAGTTAAGAGGTATGTAGTCACTTAAAAGAAGGCCTGGAAACATGTGACTGAGAGCTAAATCCTCACTTATCATTTCACTTTATGGAGACCCAAAAATATTACCATCAGTTCCTACTATAATACTAAAATGCAACAAAGAGTAACCAACATAAAATCAGTTAATGAAACTAGATATAGCAATGAATTCTGGAATTTCTAATCTACTCTTCTTTCTACTTAAATTACCTACTGATTTGTTATCCACAGCATTTAATGGTTGGCCATTGTATACACATAATCTTTAATGATAAGATTACACTATAAGAACAATTAGCTTTAAGGATCTATTATGTGAGCTTTAAGTATATTATTTTTTACATCAAACCTATGAGATAGATTTATCATCCAATTTTACAGATGAAGAACAAATTTTGAGATGCTGACTTATTTCCTTAAAATCACATTTTGTAAGATGGAAGACTAGGATCTGAAACCAGATCTGCTTTTAGAACTCACATTTTAAACACAACTTCATTATATGCTGTATTTTCAAATATTTGTTTCTCTTTCTCCCTATTTCATTCAATGATGTATTTTTCCACTGTCTGGCTAGGAGTATAATTATAATACAGTGTGATAAACAGTAACATGATGTAGTGCAAAACAACACAGGCTTTAGCATCTGAAAGAGCTGTGTGCAAGTCCTGGTTCTATTACTTACTAGCAATATTACCTCAGGAAATGTACTTAATTTTCTGAGTACCTACTTTGCCATCTGAAAAGAGGAATAACTCTCTTGCATAATTGTTCTAAAGATTAAGTGGCCATGTATGTAAAGCATATTGAATGGTGCCTGGTAATACAGTTAGCAATAAATGTTACTTTATTTTCAGATGCACAAAACAATATGGAGAGAGAAGAAAACAGACCTGCCTAGAAGATGAAGGACACAAATACATGATATTCAAAGAAGGATTCCTACTAGCTTCAGTGTCGAAGCTGAGCACATGAGTCTCTTTCCTAAATCTCTCAGGATGACCCAATGTGCTTGAGGCTCACTCCTTGACTGCTACCTAAACATATTGGTAGTGCTAACAATAAACCCTGTGCCAAGACTGGAAGGAAAGAAGACAGACTAAAGTACACTGCGTGTGTGAAACATTGGAACTGATATTAAAGGGCTCTGAATGTTTTCAAGCTTCTAGCTGGAGTGGGTAGATAGCTGGCTCTGACTTCCAACTGGCTAATCAGGACAGTCTGTCTCACTCCAGGGCACAGTTCTCTTCCATCTCTATCAGGAACTGCCCAGTGGAGGTTGGGTACTAAAGACAGGAGGGATGAGCATGCCAGGACCATCTCACATAGCTCTGCCTCAAAATTAGTCATGTGGCGCAGAAGAGTAAAATTAAGTTCCTCAGAGTTCAATGCCTGGATGTTACTCAGAAATTCTGCAAGGACAGGCCTGTTTCAGGTTTTACATCAAAACTATAAGCATTTAAAAGGGCTGAGGTTTCAGTGCAAATCTGTACACAGAAATAGTTTGGGCTATTTTTGTTGAAAAGTTAAAAGGACTTTTTAAATTATGAAAAATATTTTGTGACCTTTAGAAAAACAATATAATTATTTTGACTCTTCCAAATATAATCCTTGAGCTATTTTAAATAGCAGGCAGCATTATTGGAAAAGGCAAATACTGTTTAAAATAAATTAAGCTATAGGCTAAGGGAGCAATGGCCATTATGACTGCTTTTTAGAGAGCTACAAGATTCATGACTTCATATTCAATAAAAATGTCACTGATGCACAAAGATTTGGGGGAGGCTTTATGTATCTGAAAAGAATGATTTCAGCATACCCCACGGCTTGAAGATGAAGGAGAGAAAATAAATTTCCAAAACTATTAGGATATTCTAATAGTCAAGTTAAAAAGCTGATTATCTGTACTACAACTTTTTCCACTCTCCATTATTTAAATAATGTTTTTTAGTAAGTCCAAGACTTAGACAAATTACCCACAAGCTAAAAACTGGGCGAGGTATGTTTCATGTTTTAATATTCTTCAGACATTAGGAAGTAGGTAAATTGTCTACTCTTGGTTTTAGCTGCCAGCTTAACTCAGTCAATCTGACCTCCAAGAGGACCACTTTGACCTCTGCTCACACTCCATTCCCAATATTAAGCACATAATACATCACTTCAAAATTGATGGAAGAAATTAGCACTCTGGCAAGGACACCACATTAAAATCAGTAGCTAATTTCTGTGAAGAATTCAGATAAGAATGAATCCAGATAAGAATGATGTACGTACCTGTACCACAGGATCTTTTGGTTGGTGTGATTAACGAGACATGAGCTGTGTCTGTGCATGGCCCACCTACAAACAGAAAGGCAGGCACATCAGTCAGGACATACCCACTACATGCCCATAGCTGCTATCTTGGATAAAGAGAAATCTAAAACGGCAGCATCAACCTGCAAATATGCATAAGAGGGTAGTAGGAAAGATGGAGAAGGTGATGGTAGTGGTAGATTAACTTAGTTCAGCAATTTAAATCCATATTCTTTCTACATTAGACATGCTTTTCATAAAAAAAAAAAAAATTTGAGTCTCACATAATGTTAAAAAGTTAAAGGATAAAATTTTAACTAGAATTCCAGTCTAGGTGAGAAGAAATTACCCACAAGTTTGGGGAGATGAGCTTTTCCACAAAGTGATAAGCAGGAGTACTCCCTCTTAGGCTGATCTCAGTGGTCACCCAATCTTTGAATTTATTGCAAAACTAGCCTTGTTGGGGGGGGGGGGCTGC